GTTGGCAACGGCTTTTTGTCCGTGTCGATGGCGCCCTACGAGCCTGGACGACCCGGTCGATCGACGGTGTACGTGGCGTACCCGCATCACTATACGCGCCTCCTCGGCCTCGACGGCATCTGCTGGCAGCGCAACGCTCTCTGCGTGCGCGAGGCCGATCTCAACACGCGGTCGGTCTGCGCCGATGTCACGAGTGATGTCTTTATCGGCCGAGGACTGCACGTTCTTTCGACAGCGACGAGCGACCGCTCGGTCTTTGCCGCCATCCACATGGTCACGTTCTCTTGCTCGAGCATCGACGCGACTGCCTTTGCAATCGCGTTTGACGGCGACAACGACTACCGCTACCGCGTCTGCTTCAAAGTGACCAGCGTCGTCCACTGCGTCGTCGGTATCAACCGATTCGAGAACGTCGTTGTCCGGTTTACACTGCGGGCGCCGCCGTTCGTCTTTGTCGGCGACCGGACCGTGACGGACGAAGACCGCATCTGGCCGCTCGCGGATGCTGCGTACAGATGGAAGCGATCGGACGATCCGTCGCCCAACGGCGCGTTTGGCTACTGTCGATGCTACCACCTCGTGCTTGCCGACGGCGTCGACGCCAACGATATTGTACCGGTGCTGACAAGGTTTGGTGTTACGGACATTGAGCGCGCGCCGGCGGTGCCGGTGTACGCCGGGGTGTTGTCGCCACCACCGACTGACTGGGCGTATGGCCATGCGTTCCAGTTGCAACATCTCTCGTTTGCGCTGCGGTATGCATTGCACGTCCTCCTGTCGCAAGAGGCGTTGGTCCTCGAGCGCTCTACCGACGCGGCGACCGTGACACGGATGCTGTCGCACACGTCCGCGTCGGCGACGAGCGTCCTTGGTTTTCTTCACTCGTCGCTGCGTGGGCCACCGGATACGCCTCCGAATCTGTACGCATTTGGTCGGTGGCTGCTCACCCACGCCGAGCACCCAGCCAAGAATACGACGGCGGCACCGACGACGATGCCGGTGTCGAGGAAGGCAGACGTGATGACGCCGGC